AGATTAGATTGTGTCAACCTCTTCAAAGAATTGAAGAAGTTGTTGATAAGCGGAACTCCTCATACATTTATGGGTATTAATTTATTGAACCTTTTTCATTACCTTGGGTAGAAAAACTTGAACTTGTGTTCTTTAAAAAAAATATATAAACATTCGGAACGAAAAGGTTCCATTTAAAAACAATTTCGATTGGTTTTCATGTACGGTTACAACTTTATTTTTAAAAATTTAGAAAATATAGGTCACATAATTACAGTCAGATCTCTCTCTCTCAATAAAAAGGGGTGAAGTCTGAATGTTTTAATCGAGAGGTGGAGAATATTATTTCAACAATTTCGATTGTTAGAGTGTTGTAATCACTTTACGAGGTTAAGGTGATTAAATTTGGTGGACCTTTATTTGTAAATCGAAATCGAAATATTATGTATATATAAATAAAATAAGTAAAATTTTTATTTTTTTAAAAAAACTGTAAACATTCTAAACATTCCCCACATTTTCTTTATTCGTCACATTATATTAAATGCGAAAATTAGATTCCGATTTAAATCTTAAAAGTCGCGCAATGATTAACTGCAAACGCCCATATAACAATACAGAAAACGCGTTTAAGAACAATTAAATTGATTGTATTGTAGCTTCTCATGAGAAAAAAGAGATGTTACATGTAGATATGCCGTAAAAACTTTACTTTTTTATTGTTTTTAATTAAAGATTTAAATTGGATCTTAAACCAATGGATTTTTTTAAAAAGGTGATATTCAAATCTGTACCGATCGTCATGTGTATGACACGTGATTATTTTTAAAAAAAAATACTTTTTTAATGATCGTCATTATAAATTGGACAATATAAAGACTCGGCAAACCTATTTACAATCATTAAGGATAATTTTTAAAAATACTTTCAATTTGATATTTTTAATATTTGGGATTTGTTATTACAAAATCTATAAATGATTAATTACCTCTATGGAAAAATTCTAAACGTTTTTATTCGATTTATTAAAAAAGCCATCTGAAAGCAAAAGAAATTACTTTCTCACAAGATTTGTAATTTATAAAAACCTTTTTATTTTTTTGTTTTATACTCGCGTTGTGTTACGCAAGCACAACGAATATCATCACGTAAGCCTGACGCCAGGTTATAGGGTTTATTTACGGACACGTAGATCGAAGGTCAGTATGTCCTAATTTGGACTAAAAATTCTTTAACATATTTATTACACACCAAATAGTTTTGCCTTAAACAATTCATCAAGCCAATCAAAATTTGCATTAGAAATGATATTATTCATCTTGTCTGAATTTTTGATGTTCATCCAATTTTCACTAAAATATTTCAACCCAGCTTCCAAATTTTTCGTTTGCCAACCTATCAATAATATTTCATCCCATGAAGTTTCATCAACGAGCCTAACAATCCTTTTGGATCCCTCCCTTTTTAAATCCGAGATATCTTTAACATCATCTTCATAAATCCTTAAATTCTTCAAATGATAACCCATTATCAAGTCTTCCACTATATAACAAATAAATCATCCTTTGAAACACTCATATTTTACATCTTTAATTGAAATGACCAATGTTTTTATTCTTTCCAGTTTCCTTGAAACAAAGCCTTAAAATATGATGATTTCATTGCAAGGACAAGTTGACTCGCTCAAATTTCGGATCTACAATTAAACAAATTGGAAATTGAATATCCTTTATTAGAATACAACGTACAAGACAAATTTATGTTTTGTAATAAAAAAAAATGCTTTGGTAAGTTTAATAGTTATAAATAGAATTAATTTGTGTATACTAAATTAATGTATTAAATTTCAGATATTTCTACAAAATCACATCTTATAATTTATGTATTTTACTAATGGTATTAAATAAAATAAGATTTTTACGTTTATTACAAGTTGAAGCAAATGATGCAAAATTCTATTTATAATTTTTTAATAAATTTTATTTATTGTTAAAGGTAAGTTGCCAAAACAAAAATAATTGGAAATAGACAAATGTATGTTTATTTGCAAAAACTTCATCGTGAACTCACGTGTCTGTTGGCCTCAAATATATGGGCATCCTTAAATTGTACCCCGGGTTCAGGATATTATCCTAGACCGCAACAGACTTACATAGAGTCGCCACCAAAAAATGATAGCCGGATTTATTTGTCGGGTATTTGTTATTAGGGTTAGGATTAGAGTTAGGGTTTGGATTAGGATTAGGATTAGGGTAGAATTAGTATTAGTTAAAGGGGGTTAGCAAATTTGTCACATCGCGTCACATCTCAGCCGTTCTTCAATTTACTAAGTATTCTGGGGACTTAGAAATTATTTCACAATTATATGTCACCCCTAATAAGTATATGTGACCCGGCAAATAAAATCCGGCTACCATTTTATGGTGGCAACTGTACTTATCACGTGATAAGTACTTAAAAATATTTATTTATACATGGGGTCTAGGATAATAACCTAAACCCGGAGTCTAGGTTAAATTTTCCCCAATATATATATCTTTTACGCTGCTGGTTTTTACTATTATGAATTATCTATATTAATACACTTTTGTTGATTAAGAAATTGATTTAAAAGACTTTTTTTTTTGATACTCGTCATTGTTAGGGTTGGATTATTAGGCATCAAATTTTCCTTGATATTGTGGCGCATCTAGATTTTCTTCACAATAATTTCATCATAAGGTTCTTTATGTGCTTGCTTGTAATTATTATCAAAAAGAAAATTCGATTTTCGATTAATTTTTCACATTTACTTTAACTAAACCATTTAATATCCCTTTTCCAGCCTTTTGATCGACCGTTACTATCCCTAATTCTTTTCGTATCACCGGATATCACAATCGATAATTCGTATACCCATCATCTTGTGACGCAAATACTGTACTGTTTTTATTTTTATCCGATAATTCGTTCTTCATCGAATATTTGGGCAAGTCACACAAAAAAAAATAGTTTGCCTTTTATAATAACTAGTTCAATATAATATCCATATTGAGACAATTTGAAAGTATTCATTTAAGGGGTGCTTGCAGAAACAGGACAATTTAAATTTTTTGAATAAGGACAAAACCGGAAATTTATGCAAGGATATTTTACAAAATAACATTATAAAAACTACACAAAAGTTATTTATCAGATACTGTTACTTCATTTTATCTCTTAAAAATAATTAAAATAAAATTAATTAGAGATGAGTTCTATAGTAAAATAAAAATTTCTGATATTTCCAATACCTTGAAGATGATGTTTAAATCATCATCATTAAATATGCTGAGTCCTATGGACTTGCGAAGATCCCTATGCCAGGAGTGGTTAATCACTTCAGAAAACTCATGCAATATTTGGTTATCACCCACTTTAATTGATGTAGTAGTTTGCTAAGATTTGTTTGCGAGAAAAGTTATAATATCAAGATATTTTATCCAAAGATTGTTGATGCATCTTGGTAGATATGATTAAAAATTAATAGAATTAAAAAATTGAACATAACTTCGGACAATTAGATGCCAACAGAATTCGCACTTTTCAAAAGCAATAAATTCTCCACCTGTTTCAGTGTTTACATATTTATTAGAAGAAGGATTTAAAAGATTTAGCAAATGAAATGCCTTTAAAAGAGGTCAATCACGTGAGCAATGTAAATTATTTGTCACCTGTATCACCCCACCATTTTTTATTTTATTTTTTTAAGAACTTATAAGACGCTTATTCGTCACATGTTAATTTTCTTAATACCGTAATGCCGGCCAAAACAACTCCGCTTTAGACGGGCCCTTTAAAAGGAAATAATATGCAAAGAATTCAAAAATATCGAAACATTGATTTTAAAATTTAAAGAGTGATCCTCACAACCTATTCTCCCAAATGATGGTTATGAAAATTTCAAACTGCTTTAATGTGATTGCTAGAGCAATCCTTACTCAATTAAATCATGGAAAGAAATCGGATATAATGATATATGCAATGATGTCAATGTTTTAGTTATGCAGGGAGCTCTTCTCATTCCCTTCCCACCAACTCCTGCATCGGATTGGAATTGTCCACCGTTTCTATAGTAATTCACGCCTTAAAGAACTTATAAATTAAACTTTTAATTGAAATATACATCAAAAGATGTAAAACTTGAAAGAATTAAAGATGTCGTTAAATATTAAGAAGATGATGTTCAAAATAGTGCGTTAAGAAGAAAATCTATACGATTTACCAGTGTATTCTAACATTTATGGTAATACATCTGAGTGACTTTAACGTGCATTAAGAGTATTAATTGATACTGATCATGAGTCAGATTATCAACATGTATATATTTTTTCAATTATTTCGATTTTTGATGTATATAGCAAAACCAGAGACATAGTTAGATTTATTATTACAAACAAAGTTTAGAAATATTTCGACCTTTTATGATATCTTTCTTCCTAATGTCTATGAATTTAAATATTCTAATATTAATAAACCTAGTAGGAAGAGAAACAACCATTGGAGCAATAAACAAAATTTCATAAAACCGATCCATAAAGAAATATTTAGAAAATTATTAATTTAATTGACAATTGTTAATGATTTGTAGGCTTTAAATAAGGTTGAGTTTGATTGTTTTTTAAAAGTTACATTTTTTTTTTTAAAAAAAAAAAAAAAAAAAAAATTTTGTATAATTGTCAAATCGATAAACGTACAGATCGTACAAATTCGCTGTAAAAAGTTTTATCTTTTTTTAAGTAGACTTTTAAATAATAAATAATGAATCATGTTTTTGAAATATTATCATAATTTGATTATATATACTTAAGCTTTCTTCTGTCTTCATAGGTGTCATTATTTTATATAGCGGGCAAAACTTATTTAGCAAATGGAAATAGATTTATTATAGTTTCGACTTGAAATATAAAGGTTTTTCTATTTATACTGTATATTGATAATAATATTGCTACATCGGCAGTCTCGATAAACACTTATAGTGTCTGATAATTAGACAAGGATTAATTTATTTATTTAATAATGAATAATAACTCTTGAAACGTCAACTTTTACTACCAAAGTATGTATTATTTACCTTCAATATTTCGATTATTCATAACTTATTAGCTTTTTTTAGTGAACTTAGGACGTAATCAAAAATAAAAAAACTAAGTAATTGATAAATATATATTAATATATAATTAATATAAGATACAAGAAAGAAAATACAACTTTTACGTAAATATAAAAAATATAAAGGAGAAAAAGAAATATAAAGCAAAGTTGCAAGTAAAATCAAGTTACGGTATATAGTAAATCATATGATCCGTAATGTGATTTTACTGGCAACGTTCCAAATGAGCTATTCGTGATTAGCCACTAAAATTATTACAATTATTAAATGATTGTTGAAATTGAGCTTGAGAGTTATTATTAATATTATTTGAAGTAGAATTGTCTACAGGAATGATAATAATCTTAAAGCCAGGAATGTCAAAACAAAGGATGTTTTGACTTGGTTGGAGAGGGTTGGGGAAAGGAATATAGTTTGCGGATAGCGGTGGATTGGCATTAGCATGACCAGTATGTGAGGCATATGTCGAAGGGTGCAATTGAGCTGAAGCATTAGAGTTGGCCATAGATGGTTGAAAATGTGAATTAGCAACTCCGTAAGGCATTGAACTATTATTATTATTGTTCATCATTGGTTGATTATAGTTGTAATTAATATATGATGGATAACCATTATCATTGTTATTTTCTGAAGGATTATTAGGTTCCATTTTGAATAAATGTAATTTATTGATTTGTTAAATTAATAAATTGAAATATTTATTTTTTTTCGTTATGGATGAAGTGTTTTTGTGTCGCTTTTATAATGATTGCGTTTTAAATTTTAAGGATCGAAACTTGCAGGGAGATGTTCGGATAAGAGCAAGCTTTAACTTCATTGGATATTAAAATCCGAGAAAATCCGTTTGCATTCAATTATAATCATATTATAGCGATCGGATATACAATTATTTACCTTTTTAGGATATTTATTATTAATTGCAGAAAATTGTGTAAATACCATTCCCTGAAGATTTCATTTAGTGTTACGTTAAAACGAAAATCCTAGGGTCATTGTGAAGTCGCATTTTCCATAAGACATTGATCTTCGAGTGTCTGAAATCGAGTTTCTTCAGACACCCTTTTTGTTATCTGAATTCCAACTTCAAACAACTTATAAAAAAACTATTTAACCAATCACAATATGCCAATTTTTTTTTTTACAATTTCGTAACTTTAATATTTTATATTTCAGACTTTAAGCTTTTAGTTAAATTATAATATAGTTTCGTGGCATTTATTAATTAAATTTTGTAGTATTAAATTCTAATATTATTTTTATCTTTTTCATTTATGGCTTATTTTCTTTTCTTTTTTTTTAGGATTTTTGAGCACATACGGGCTGCTGCTTAATGTAGGTTTTTCATTTTCTTTCTTTTTTTCAATTTTTTTTTTTACTTTCTATTTTCATTTTTTTATATTTTAATTTTTTCATTTTTTTATTCTAATTTTATTTTTATTCAGTTTTTGAGCTAATAAAAAGTTCATTTTTTATTTTTTTCTTTTTAGTTTTATTTTTTATTTTATTTTTATACAGGTTTTTGACCACATCGGGTGCTGCGTCAGTTTATTTTCATATATTTTTCAGGTTTTTTTTTAAACTTCAGAATGAAGTTATCCAACCTGAAAAAAAAATAACCATTCAAATAGAATAAAATCTTAAAAACATTAACATTTTTTTCTTTTTAATTATTTTAAGACAGCAGATAGCAAATAGAAAAGTAACTCCTACCTTTATGATTACCTGTATAATTATTCTATTTTGAAGCTGAGAAACAAATTTAAAATAAAATTACTTAACTTTTTATTAAATATTTTTATAGAGAAAAGGAATTTTAATCTTTATTATTATAATAGAGTAGTAAAAAAAAAAATAAATAAAAGAAAAAATTAAAAATCATAAAAATTTTATTAATTAAAATAAATTGCTTATACTATATATTTAGATAATAGATCCTTCATATTACTTTAATTTTAATTTATAAATACATAATTTATATAAAATTCAGATTTTATCTGAAGTTAAATTTCAGATATCTCAATTTTAGATGGTCATGTATTTGAATTCATCTGAAGTTTAATTTTAGATATCTTAATTTCAGATAGCCTTATGTCTAAAATTCAGATTCTATCTGAAGTTTCAGATATCCTAATTTCAGATAGCCTCGTGCTTAAAATTCAGATTCTGTCTGAAGTTTAGTTTCAGATATTTCAATTTCAGAGGGACTTGTACCTGAAATTCAGATTTTATTTGAAGTATAATTTCAGATATCCTAATTTAATATAGCTTTGTATCTAAAATTCAGATTCTATTTGAAGCTTAATTTCAGATATCTTAATTTTTAAGTGGTCTCATATCTGAAATTAGAATTTAATTGAAATTAAAATAATTATACAGAAATTGACTAATAAGAACATGACTGAAATTAGAATTCAGATAACAAAAAGAGTATCTGAAATTAGAATTCCAATTTCAGTTAACTGATTTTTAAATCTCAATTTCAGATACTTAAAGATTATTTAAATTTTAACTTCAAATGAAAATTAGTTTCAATCACAAAAATTTGATAATTATTGTATATTTGTAATTAATATTTATTATAAAATATTATTTAATAGATGCAAATAAAGATTATTATTATTATTTATTATAAAATTTTTTAAGTTTTATCTTGAATAATAATTTATTTAAAATTAATAAATTAATAAATCTAAAAAAAATTTTTTTATAAAAAGGGTTTTTAAAGCTCTTTTTTGAAACTAATAATTCTCATTTTAATAATTTTATTAAATACATAAAGTATTATAAATAAAAAAGGTAATCCTATAAAGTAAATTACTTATCTGTAATTAGAAAATTATTTTCTACTACATATCATAACTCCAAATGAATAAAAAAATGGATTAATTATCTAAATATTTATTTATCATTTAAATAATTAAAACATTGTTAACCCTATACTCAGCCCGTCAAATTTAAGGTAATTATGACTTAGTAATATGTGAAAAACTACTAAGTTACTGTGAAATAAGTTTTATCATAATCAACCTTAAGTTTATAATTTTTAGACGAGTAAATAACTTTAACAATTTATAAATACGATAAATACAATTGACACATTAAACGATTTTTAATATGTGTAGTTTAGAAAGAGATTCTTTTATTATAGTGATTTGTATCCTTAGCAATCTTTAACCTTAGATTCTAAATCTTAAACTCAAACTATTGAGTTTACACTACTATCTCTGCCCTTTTGCAAAGACAAATTTCTATCCTATTTATACAAAAGTACAATTATAAAAAATTACTATCTAACGCTAAACTATTTTATAATGATAAGATAAATATAAAAGATAAATTATTATTTAATGATAATACTAATATAATAAATAATAATAATAAAATATAAGAATAAAATAAAATAAAAATGTTAACTAAGTTAAAAATGCTAATGATATTAATAACGTTGATCATTTGTCAATCTTTATAACAAAATAAGATTGATTTCATATGGTATCAATTTTTTCCTCTAAATTTGCAGCTCCTGCAAAAATTTTATAGACTTCATCAACCAAGTTCTTAAACTCCTGAGATTTAAGATTATCAATTGTTCTGAAAGTTATTTTATTAGTACGTCTGATTTGTGCGATTTCTAGAGTTTTAAAAAGATAATAAGTTCTTTTTGAGGCCTGCTGATAGTATAAGGTTATTTGGTTCCTAAATTGAGTTTGTTCAGCTAGACTTGAAGTTTTTGTCTCCATTACTTATCTAAATTAAAACGTATTAGCCAGGGCTAATACTCTATTTTTCAATCTGGTAGCTCGTAATAATGCTCTATAAGTAGTTTTGACCTTTTATGCAATTGAGTCAGTTTTCATGTAAGGTGGGAGAATGATGATATCTGCTAAAATATTAACAGTCATTAAATCATCCTTAACTTCTTGAAATAAGTTCATCATATTGGAAATTTTGAGGAATTTTTAAAGAAATTTGTTTCTTTATATAACAATCTGAGGCTTTCAATTTTGGCGATCATGATAAGACTTTAATAGATTTCCATTTACTAGTATATATAGCACTCTTCCATTTATTTTCTTATCTTATACAATCCATTCATTAAAACTTGATGGATATAGTAAGGTCCTTTCTATTTTAGATTTAATTTACCAGACTATTGCTTATCTTTAACTATATCATAGTAGAGAACTTTATCTCTGATTTCAAATTAGAAAAGATGATCAATTTGTCTATCATGATGATTCTTTTGTTTTTGCTATGCTATTGCAATATGATTTCTTGCAATTTCTTTAGTTTGAGGCAATTGATCAACCAAATCTTGTAAATGTTTAGATAATATGATATTTTGATTGTTAAGATCATCCAGAATAGTATTGCATTTCTCTCATATATGAGATAAAAAAAGGATATTTTATTGATAGAGTGTTTGCTTATACAATATGCAAACAAAGTTAGTGCAATTTGTAGATTTAAATTATCTAGATCTTGTACTATTTTTGCTAAAGATTCACATAATGTACGGTTAAAATGTTCCACTAAACCATTTGTTTAGGAATGGTAAGGTATTGATAGCAGATATTTGATTTTAAACTTATCTATCAACTTCTTGATCATTTGATTATTAAAATAAGTTCCTCTATCAGAAAGGATTTTTGCAGGACATTTGTGATGACAGATTATATATTCATAAATAAATAAGCAATCTGTTTCACAGTAGCTTCAGGAATAGCTTTAACTTTAGGCCACTTAGTAAAATAATCAACAGCTACTATGATATGTTTATTTCCATTTGATGTTATAGGTAAAAGTCCAACGAATTCTATACCAATTTGATAAAAAGGTGCTTATACTGGTATAGGATATAGCTTTTTATATTTCTTTAGTTTTCCTCTTCTTTGACAGCTATCACAAGAATGAATATATTTTCTAATATTTTTATATAATTATAGCCAATAATATCGTTCTTTAATTTTATCAAATATTATATCTACTGCAAAATATTCAGCAATTAGATCATTATGCATCATATAAAGTACAGCTTTTATTTCATATGATCAAATAACTCTAAGAAGTTTTTATTAAACATATTTATATAAATAATTATTTTTAATTTCAAAATATCTGGATTGTTTAACTAATTTTTATTGTTGAGTTGGTGTATTTCATCTGGTGAAGTTTTGTTTTGTAAATAATTAAAAAGATGATTATATTGCGTTATATCCATTATGAGCTGTTTGTCACACTGCAAATACTTTAGTTTTCACTCAAATAAATATATTTTAATAAATATTGAGATAGATGAAAGATTAATAAGAGGATAGGGGGGTAATATCTAACATTTCATAAAGTTGAGAGTATGCATTTTCTTGTTAAACTAGAACTGGTTCTTCCCACCATACTTCATTAACTAAATAAGTTTGTTTTATATCAGAGTGAAATTTTCCTCTTTTATATTCTATAATACAATCATGAATAATTGTGCTATAAGGTAAATTCTTTTTGCATGCCTTACAATAGGTATAAATATAATAATTTTCTATATCACAGGCAAAAGTACATTGAGATTCTCCTTTGGTAATAGGTTGGTTAGCTATAACTGATTTAATTTTAATATTTTCACAATATATATCTTCCATTTCATCCTTTGAGCTTTCATATCTAACTGCAATAATTAAAGATATATTGGAAAATTGCTAAAATAATTATTTCTCAAACTATATTTCTTCATTATCTTTAGTAGAATTACATTCAGAAGAAATATGCCATTCGTCATCTGATTCTTCAACTTCAACAGTAATTACCATAAAAACTTCATATATTTTATCTTCATATTTGTGATCAGTATTAATTTAAGAAAGAGCATCAGCATCAGCATTTAGTTTTTCAGGCCTTATGCTTTATTTCAAATTCATATTGTTAGAGTTTTATGATCTATTGTGCTTTTCTTCCTTT